AACCAAAGAAATCTGAAAGGTGCTTCGTCTACAAAGGATTATATCCCATTCAAAGGACCAGCTTCAGAGTTGGCAAATATCCACTCAACAAATACTGGAAGACACATTTCTACTCTCTGCTTTCAAGCTAGCCAAACCACAGCGTGGTTCTGACCAAATAGATCCAAATCCACAGGGCTTTTCTGAGTATTAGCCACAACTTGCTATGAATGGATGGCTAGACTGAGCTTAGGTAAGGCCAGCCTAGAAGAGCCAGGGAGTCTGGTAATGTATCAAAGCTGAGATTTCTATCATTAATTTTACTGCCATTATACAGACCATGCCTCTGTTTCTAGAAGGTCAGGCCACATTCAACTATAACTTGTTATTCAAATTTTTCTTTAAATATTTCTCAGAAAGTTTGTGAAGATGGTTAAAATAGAAAATTAAATTTTCTGAAAGCCATTGCTGACATGAGTTCTATTGAGCCACAGAATATCCATAGCATCATCTAACGTTGTCTACTTCGGTCTTTCATGATGATTTTAATAGAGTTAATTATCTTGTCTTGAGGTGACTTGCATTTCCTGCTCATAAGATGAAATAAAAATGGGTACAGTAATTAAGAACATGGGCTTCACAGGTTTATCTTTTGTGTAATGGATTGAAATATTAACTCCGCAGGAGTACAGTTGTGGAGACTAACATTATTAAGTTTAGGGTACTAAAGACGGTGCCTAAAATGTAGTAAGAAATCAGAAAACACTGGCAATGATAATGATGGTAATGACGATAAGTTTATAGCTACATCTGGGCAGGCTTACCCATTGACTCCATCCATAATTATTGCACATAATATGTAGTCCTTTTCTTTTCTACTTGCTTCTATTCTAGGAAATAGAACTTTCCATAATAATTACTTCTGGGTGATATTTAACCTGGCGTTTTACTTATAACATGTTAGAAAAATAAGAAAAATATTCAAGGAAGTTGTTTTACACAAAATTGTATTCTCCGTATTATTAAACAGGGCCAAGTAGCTGGTTGAATGCACATAGTGGGGAGACGTGTCAAATACAGGAAGGCAATGACGTGAAAGCAGAAGCAGCCAAGGGTTAACAGGGTCAACACTAAAATCAGTGGCACACACCAGAAGACATATTATATGGTTTTTTTCCCCTAAAAATCAAGAAACTCGAATATAGAATGACTGAATTTTAGAGGTAAAAGAGATATTAAAAAATAAGTTTTGGATGTATGACCTATTCATTTCAGAGCTATGACCTATTCATATTACATAATAAGAATGTATGAACACTAAGCAGCTTTAGATTTTCTAAATATCAATCCCATGTACCATCTTCTACCTTATAGGTAGATGCAAAAAAAAAAAGTATCTGTACTTGTAAACTTTTACCTTTCAAGTCTTCACAGAATAAAACTAGAATGAAAGCTTGTCAATTCTATATTTTGCTAACAGATGGCATGATTTGCTGTGCAAAATAATAATTATCTTGGTCACTCCATTTTTCTTTAAATGATAATTTTTATTTGCTATGATAAATAACTCATCATGTTGAAAAGCATAAAATCATAGACTGAAATATGTATTCGGAATAGGAAGATGATTGTAATAGAAATTTAAAAACAAGAAAAACTTGTGAGACTATGGAAAGTATTGCAAGTATCTATGGGAGAATTATTTAACAATAGAAACAATTCTAAATGCAGGAAACATTCACAGACATAAAAATTTCCATGCCAACATAGTCTTAAATAATCAGAAATTAAAGTAGAAAATAATCCATAAAATAAATAATCTTTTAATTACAGCTAAAGAAGGCCAACATAAAAATAAAATGCCCATTAACATAATGACACCTCTGGAAATACTTGCATTGACAAACTCACTAAATATTTATTGACTGGTAATTGTGGTCCATGATCTTTTCAAGGTGCTTCGGATTCATCAGTAAGTAGAAGAAACAACCCTGCCCTTTTGGAGTTTCTGTTGTAGTATGCAGTGAGCAGAGGACAGGAAAAGGTAGAGAGGAACAGGAAATAGGTAAACTACCATGAACATTATAAATATAAATATTATATTGTTTGTATGCTATAATAACAATTAATATAAAAAATAAAAAATAGGGCCAGGCGCGGCGGCTCAGGCCTGTAATCCCAGCACTTTGGGAGGCCGAGGCGGGTGGATCACGAGGTCAAGAGATCGAGGCCATCCTGGTCAACATGGTGAAACCCCGTCTCTACTGAAAATACAAAAAATTAGCTGGGCATGGTGGCGCGCGCCTGTAATCCCAGCTACTCAGGAGGCCGAGGCAGGAGAATTGCCTGAACCCAGGAGGCGGAGGTTGTGGTGAGCCGAGATCGCGCCATTGCACTCCAGCCTGGGTAACAAGAGCGAAACTCCGTCACAAAAAAAAAAAAAAAAAAAAAAAAAAAGAAAGAAAGAAGAAGAAAAATACTCTGTGAAGTTAAAGGACGGAGTATGTGAATGGAATATCTTGAATGAAAGCCCATCACTGATCTGATCAAATATTTCAGGGAGCTGAGAATATCAGTCATGCAGACGCCTGGAAAAGACTGTTCCTGGCCTAGGGAACAGCCACGGCAAATTCCAAAGATGAGGACATATTTGAGCAACATCGAGGGCTCTAGTGTGCTTGGACTAATGGGGTGAGCAACGAGTCTCAAAAGTCAAATTGTGTGTGGTAGAGTCCTACCTAACTACCTAAGGATTTTGGCTTTAATTCTGAATAAATGGGAAAACTGCTGAAGGGTCCTGAGCAGAAGAAAAACAAGAATTGTCTAATTCAAACAATATCATCATGCCTCCATCGGGAATAAATGGTAGAGGGTAAGAACGGCTAAAACTGAGGTCGAAATACAGTTTTTTTTTTGTTTGTTTGTTTGTTTGTTTTTTGTTTTTTTTGTTTTTTTTTTAATTTTTTATTGGATTATAGGTTTTGGGGTACATGAGCAGAGCATGCAAGACAGTTGCGTAGGTACACACATGGCAGTGTGCTTTGCTTTTCTTCTCCCCTTCACCCACATTTGGCATTTCTCCCCAGGCTATCCCTCCCCACCTCCCCCTCCCACTGGCCCTCCCCTTTTCCCCCCCAATAGACCCCAGTGTTTAGTACTCCCCTTTCTGTGTCCATGTGTTCTCATTTTTCAGTTTTATGCTGGACTAGAAAAGAAGTGGGAGTTTGTTGCTGAAATGCTGTCTGGTGAAAGTCCTGGTGATAAAAGTTGGAGCAAAAGCCACTTTGCTTCCAAAGATTCAAGGACCTTTAATTTCCCCACCCAAGTGAGTAGAGAAGCGGCGGCTGGGGATGCTACAGAGACTGCGTTCTCCTAGTTACAGGTTTCAACAGCTTGCCAGTGTAGAAGAAAATGGTCTGAAGGTGTTCAATAGTTTGAAAATCAGCAAGGAGAAGAAAAGTAGGGCTGGTTCAAAACCCACACAGGATGAGCTGATACTATCATTTGGCGGAAGGACATGAAGGGTTAGCCAGTTTAAACTCCCCTTAGTCACTTTGGACATAAAAACGCAGAGGTACACAAAGAGTCCTCTGAACTATGTGTATGTATCGAGGAAGTTCTCTGTACTAAAGTTACTTCTTTCTTTCTGCTGTGAGAATTCCGTATCTTTCATGCCATTAAAAAAAGTTGCTTTATTTAAGAAATTTTAAATATGTTATAGAGTTTTGGTAAAAGCAGCCTGACATTGTTATTTGTTTAAAATCCTCCTGGATAACTGAAATAGAAAAAATTATCAATTTTTTAAATGTGGACTAAATTGCCTCTTTCCTATTTTTGTGTAAGATACTGATCTTATAGACTCGTGTATAGAAATAATAAAACTACGTGTCAGCTTATTCTAATTTAATAACCCATCTCTTCCTTTTCTCTTTCTCCCTCAGTTTTTATGCTCTGTATTCCTTTCTTTTCTTCCCTTCTCTCTCCTTCATTTCTTTCTTTGTGTTTTTATAGATATCAGGTTTCACATCTTAAGATCTCCGTTTTGAATTGAAGAGAAAATGTATAAAAATATTTATATTTATACTGGCGCTGGGATAGAAGCTTTTGAAGAAGATAACAGACAGAAAAGAACAATTATGGAAATTGCAAATAGAAAAAGCAATGAGGAGTGTGGAGGGCAAATACCATCAATACAAATTACTTTAAAAACCAGAAATATAGTTTAAACTAAAGCAAAATGAGGCCGGGGGTAGTGGCTCAAGTGTGTTATCCCAGCACTTTGGAAGGCCGAGGTGGGTGGATTGCTTGAACCTAGGAGTTCGAGACCAACATGGGCCACATGGTAAAACCCTGTCTCTACAACAAAAATAGAAATAAATTAGCCAGAGGTGACAGTGCACACCAGTGCTCCCAATATTGCTCCCAATACAAGCTTTTTTTTTTTTTTTTTTTAGCACATGGTACTGTTTATTGTGATGCTCGGTGGAAAACATCTGTAGACCAGCTTACTGCAGTGGTGACCGCTGCAACACATGCTAAGGCACTTTTATTATATAAAAAAGGGGGTAGGGAGGGAGTTCCACCCGCTCCTTTGTGACAGCAACTGGGACCTGAATTCAGAGCTTTGTAGGCATATGCAGCTTTCGTATCGCTTCATGATTTGAGAGTTTGTTTCCTTTTCAAAAAAATGCCTTCTTGCCGTAAGTCTCAATGCAGCATACACAAAATGGTTAGGAATACACGTAAATTCGGCAACCAGTGTAGACCAGTGAGGACAAGCTACTCTCTTCTAAAGAAAGGCAGTGAGAAAGCCTCAGAATTTATTACAAGAAAGGGGAAAAAAGAAAACCATTTTTTTTTTTTTTGCTTTCAAAAATATCTGTGCAGGTGGCAGATTTTTAAACTATACTGAGTCAACAGTGCAGGTAAACTACCCTCGGGCCCCGTGCTGGAGCAGGCACAAGATCACACGGGAGGGCCCCCGGCCCCTCTAACGCTCCGGCTGTCAGGCTTCGGACAAGTCTGATGCAGCTGTACAGTGCGCGCCAGCGGCGGCGGCTGAACCGGGGCCTTCGGTGGAAGCAGCACTCGCTGCTCAAGCGCCTGCACAAGGCCAAGAAGGAGGCGCCGCCCATGGAGAAGCCGGAAGTGGTGAAGACGCACCTGCGGGACATGATCATCCTGCCCGAGATGGTGGGCAGCATGGTGGGCGTCTACAACGGCAAGACTTTCAACCAGGTGGAGATCAAGCCCGAGATGATCGGCCACTACCTGGGCGAGTTCTCCATCACCTACAAGCCCGTGAAGCACGGCCGGCCGGGCATCGGGGCCACTCACTGGTCCCGCTTCATCCCCCTCAAGTAGCGGCTCTGCTAATAAAGGCACCCAGACCTCCAAAAAAAAAAAAAAAAAGCTTGTATTGCTCCCAATACAAGCAACTGGGAGGTGAGGCAGGAGGACCACTTGAGCCCAGGGTGTCGAGGTTACTGTGAGCCCTGATTATACCACTGCCCTTCAGCCTGGGCAACAGAGTGAGACTCTGTCTCAAAAAATAAAAATAAAAAAAACAAGAAATTGAAATGTTGCTATGTATAATCCTGTAATAAATGAATATTGCTACTGGGTCATATAATACTGTCGTTTTATAATTCCAACATTACTCAGAACAAAAGACACAAAATAACAATTGTAAAGAGCTAAACTTTAGAGGAGTATTACCAAGCAAGGATTCTATGGATTCTAAATTCAGAAAATATAGACATTTCAAAAAAATTTTAAAGGTATCTTAAAACACGTGGAGAGAAGGATATTTGAAAAAAATAAGCAGTCATGGCATAGAAATGCAGTTAACACCATATAGTATTCTTCATTCACATACAACATCTTTCACCACTGCGCCCCTGACTGTAATTCTCTTACAATTCCCACCTACTCAGTCCCTTACTCTCGACTTCTACTGACTTAGGATAGAGTCAAACTCCTCAAATGGATAGAAAATAAAAGAATTTTGTACCTCCCACAGAGCAAGTTGAATGTTAGAACACCTTTTGGTCTTTTATATCAACTAGAATAAAAGTATAAAGTCAGCGTGTTCTGAAACACATAAAAGAGGTTATCAAGGTAGGGAAAGGAACTGTAGGTAGGGAAAACCATGTCACCATATACATAGATCTTAGTTATTACTAAGATGTAAAGGATGATACAGTATGAATATGAATGCCTTTAGACTATGAAGTAAGTAGGTTGCTATTTCAGTGACAGATGACAACATTTTTTTATTTCATAGATTTAAACATAAAATTACTAAGATGACGCTATGTCATTCCCTAGCATAAAAATCTGTTTTACCTTAAAATAATAATGTTATTTATTTATTTATGAAGTAAATTGTCCACATCGGACAAGATTCTTTCCGCAGTCTGAGGATTTACAGCTTTTCCAAGGCAGTAAGGTAGCTGCATTTTATTCTATTTTTCTTTTTTTACTTAATTACAACCAAAGATTAAAACGCTGATACTCAAATCATAGCCATGTCACATTGGTTCCAGTTTCCGATGTTCCTGCTATTTTTTCCTAAGCATCAACCGTTGATGATGCTTATCAACACCCATATCATAATATTCCAGACTATCATTTAGTGGTATGTTCTATTCTGTCGAGCTTCCTAGAGAATAAATAATTATACATTTCCATTCACTAAATTTTGTAAAAAAGATCACGATTTCAACTGCAAATAAGTATCCTCTGATATTGTATGTTAACTCTCAATTTACACTACTTTCCACTCACCTCACATTTTGAATTTAAGATTCAGATAACTAAAATCATTTTGTAAATATAGTTGCTGAAATTACAATAAACATCAACCAACATGAGTGAAAATACTTAAATATGTAAATTGAGGAGTCATGAAACTCATTTCAATTAATATGAAATCCAGTTTGGTTGATGAAAGAGACATTTATTAACCCCCTGTGTCTAGTAATGTGCTAGTGTCTGTTTAGTCTCAGAGTGAGCTCGCAAAATACCCTCTCTTTCAGGAGGAGATATATATTTATTATTATAAAGTGACATTATCAGCTTTTCCTCTCAAAAAATTTTCTCATTATGTATAAATCCAAATTATTGTGCCAGCTTTCAAGTAAAAGATTAAGAAGGCTGTACATTCATCCTACAATGTTGCTACTCTCAAAACATTTTTGAAAATTCTTTTCTGCATTGCCATGAGAGACATTTTATGAGCCACAAGAGAAAATTACTTCATTGCTTAAAATCCATGACTCATTTATTTTTAACCCGAAATGGTGTTTCTTATTTGGTCATTTCTTTTTAGCAGGTTTGACTTTAGATAATTGTTAAGCACTATGAAAATTGAAATTCACTTTAGGAAACAAAAATCAGAATTTGTTGCTGTTGCGTTTAACTTAAAGGGGTAGTGGAGACAAAGGTTCTGAAGACATTTCTGGTACCTTTATGGACACATCAGCTACCATGCTTTATAACCAGGTCTCACAAAGGAGTTAACTCAGAAGTGAAGGAGAGGACAGAGACACTTAGAGATCTCTAGAGAACAGGTATGTCTGTGTGGTAAGGAGATACAGGCTGTGCATTTTATTTGAGAGGTTTCCCTTTTAAAAAATTGGCCTCACCACACAGGATATCCTTTATTAAAATAAATGGCAGGCACTATAGTGACTCAGTGTAACATATTGTACAGAGCCATATGACATTGTGGTTAAGAACTTGAACTCTGAAGTCAGACAGTGAAAGCTGAAATCTGGCTCCAAAGCTTATTACCTGAGTAATATTGGGCAGGTTTCAGACAATACAGATAATTGTTTAAAATAATAAATGAGATAATCTAAATAAAAATGCTTAGCATGGCGTCTGTAACATAGCATGCACTAAACAATTCAGTCCTCCTATTTTCTCTCTGCTTATTAGTTTGTGCGTGCGTTTGTGTGTTCATTTGCATGTGTGTGTTGTGTCTGTGTGTTGTATGTATGTCTCTCTGTGTAGCATTGTCAGTATATCAAACTTTACATGGATAAGCTTGATACATATGCTTTACATATTAATATATAACTTTACATATAAGTTTGATATTTTGTCAATTCTAAAGAGGCTGTAAGAGTAGTTACAGCTTTTACACTGACTGTAACTCTAACTATACTGACACTAACTATAACTCTTTTATTAGAGAAAACAAATTTAATTGGAGTAATACTATCTTCCTAATTAAAAAAATAATAATCCATTGTGTAAAGAAAATACATGATGGGATTTGAGACTTTAATAGTTCCTTGTCAATTAGATCTACTGAGTACGTAAATAATAAAGTTAAGTAATCACAATTATTGAAGACATAAATCTACTGTAAATCAAGTCCTGGTAAGTACTAGTATTAATATTTTAAAATTCTTTTTTGTTGTATATTTGGCTTAATGGTTGAATCATGATAAAGAAAATAAAATAATATTCTTATGCCCAAAAGAAAATGTAATATAATAGATACTGAAACATGTAGTCACATTGCAATACTATCTTAGATTGTTGATAGGCAGCATTATGAGAGTAGTCATTACTTACAGGTATCAAAATTTTTCCTTAAGGCTGGATATCACACAAATCAATTATATTTTTCTATTTTATATACAATGTTAGAAAAACTCTGGGCCAACCCACTTTCTTTAAAACTATGCCTATACCATTTTAGTAATCATCTATAACAAGAGACCGGATTCTAAAGTTGGATATATTGAGATTCAAATCCTGTCCATCACTTCCTCATCATGTTGGGTAAAATAATCATTTTCTTATTTTTAAATTACAGGTAGACAATCACATAACCTGATAATCATGCTGTAATGATTAAATGAAATATTCCATGTAAGGACTTAATAGTGCTGGTACTTATTGCACACTTAATAAATATTTTTTTAATTTTTTAAATTTTATGTTGCCATTATTTTTTCCTTGGATCCTTTATTTTAGTTTTCTGGACAATGTTCTCTGAATATTATATTTTTCTGTTAATAGTTTTATTATGCTACTTCCATTAAAATTTCATTCATCTTAAAAATTTTCTCTTATTCTAATTCCTGCCTATAATTACTCACCAACTACTGCCAATGTATATTATGTAATTCTGCTGCATCTTTTCTTTTCATCCCTGTCATCAATGATTAATCCACCTTGGATAAATGTAATAGTTTCTTTCTAGCCTGTCTAGTATTTGTTTCCTTGTCACTGCTTCCTGATTATTCTTGTCCAAAATAGCAGTCACCATCTTATTACAAACTAATTCCAAAAATTTTAATGATTTACTTTCTATAAAATCTGATATTTACATACTTCTTCAAACGTTTAATCCTTTATTGCCCTCTGACATAAAATCATTTCTTCATTAATCTTTTTTCTTTTTTTTTTTGACGGAGTCTTGCTTTGTCTCCCAGGCTACAGTGCAGTAACGTGATCTCGGCTCATTGCAACCTCTGTCTCCCAGGTTCGAGCAGTTCTCCTGCCTCAGCCTCCCGAGTTGCTGGGATTACTGGTACCCACCATGACGCCTGGCTAATTTTTGTATTTTTGGTAGAGACAGGGTTTCATCATCTTGGCCAGGCTGATCTTGAACTCATGACCTCATTATCCACTCACCTCGGCCTCCCAAAGTGATGGGATTACAGGTGTGAGCCACCCCACTTAGTCCATTAATCATTTTGTATGATACATTTTCATATAATTACGTTTACCTGCATAAAAAGACTTTATCAAAATATTCCATACCAGCTATAGAGAGTTTACCTATATGATCATCTTCATTATGAAGGGGTCTCTAAACATATAATTATTATATATTATTTAACATATATTGATATTAATATTAATATTAATATATTTAACATATATTAATTAATATATATTATTTTGAGGTCCTTTTCTTATAATCTATGACAGTCATATATTATTTTAATATGTTCTGTAATATTTAATTTACATATTGTATATATTTACTCCATGTTAAAATAATTTTCAGCACATGTAACTATTTTATAGGATTTTATGTCTTTGTTGGAATTACTAATGTATCATTTTTAAAAACACAACAAATATCTTTAGGAGAATTAATACAAAACAAAACTTAATCCTTGATTCCTGGTCAGGAAAAGGTAACAGAGACTGAATTTATCATCTCATATAAAACAACTAAAACAAAAGAAAATGCATATAAAACAAAAGTTTTCAGGATATCAGGCAACAAAAAACAGAGATCCTTAACAAAAGGGAAATGGATGAACACACAGAGCAAGAATTTACAGCCTTAGGAGTTTCTAGGTTGAAACAGGAGGACAGGAAACTGAAGCAGAGCTCAGAAAATTCTCTGATTTTAGGAGACAGAGATGAAAGTCTAG